GCCTTTGCGCGCTTGCCTGGGCGGCCGCGGCGGCGCTGCCGAGGAGAGCCCCTTCCCCGCTAATCTCGTTAGGCAGGTTACACACCGCCAACCTCAGCGGAGGCAGCCAGGGCCCGCCACTGTTTGGACGCAGTTTAGCGAGCACTTGAGCAAGCTGAATGAATATCGACTCCGGCGAGTTCGGGGCTCTCCCAGGCCAATCAGAAGCCACTTTGCCAAATACAAAGCATCCCAATCAGGCATCAGCCTCCCCTCCTCGCATTCTTTGCCATCACAAATTGTCACCATGGGGACAGCCACAGAAAGACAGCTAATAAATACAATCATTTCCCCGCGATTATGACCATTCTCCCTATCCTCTTCACCCCTACCGAGGCCTTTCTTTTTAAAATGCAAACAACCCAAAGTGGAAATACTGAGGATGAGTTAGGAGAGTTTAGACACCCTTTTCTCTGCACTCCCTGAAGCTGTCTAGGGGCTGATACTGACCATGCTTCATTGGCACAGGACAATGTAATACGGGGCACTGGGCTAGCCTACTTTTAACCATTCCCCATCAGAGCCCTTTTTTTTTTTTTTTTTTTTAAGGGGAGGATGATGTCAGAAGAAGGTAGGAAAGGAACAAATCTCTAAAGAGATGTGCAGATATCCATGGAAAGGGAGCTTGAGCGCTCAAGAATCTTGTCTTTATGTTTGCCCCCTCAATTGAGTTACACAAAAGCTGAATTACCCATTCAAACTACCCGGACAAAAGGATGGAGTTGGATAGTACTCTTGCATCTGTAGTCAAACAGTTAGAGACTTAAATCGAGTCGTCATGATGGAGAAAGAGTTAGACAAAGCCCATAGAATTGCCATCAGCAAACATTTTCCTGTGTCATATTAGTGAGTCTCCATGACTCCCCCTGGCCTGGGGACAATAGCACAAGTTTGCACACTCGACTACTGTCACCCTGCCAACGCTGGCAAGGAGCAGAAACAGGACAATCCTTTAAGGGGAAAGCATGCCCGCTGCAGGGAAGGTAAGAAGAGAGGGAAGAAAAGGCGTGTGAAATGCTAATTGAGCTGCTTCCTTTACTGATCCAGAGTTATGTGAGCCCTCCACCTTCTAGCAAGCTTGTCCCTAAGGGGCAGCACACTAAAACTGAGAGCTGAGGGAAAAGGAGAGCCCTCGGTACGCATCTCACCGATGACACGGAGCTGGCGACAGCCTGTGTGCCAGCCCGGGACCCACTGCCTCCCACAGCCCAGCAGCGCCGCTCCTGCTCTCCAGCCCACAGCACCCTGGGCACGGGAAGAGAGCAGAGGGGCACAGGATACGCGCACGCACAGTCAGGGAGATGCTTCCAGCTCTGGATCAAACACGTACGTGCCCTGGGGAAAGCAGGGATTGAAGTCCAAGCCATTTTGCAAGTAAAATCTACCTTCCTGTTGTGAGGCCTGAGCACTGAGGGTTGAAAACAAAATTTTATGGTTATTTTACAGTATTTCTGTTGGTCCAATTTTCCTTGGAGTAGGAGAAGATCCCAACTCTGCCACTATATCAAACTCTGGACTGAGGCACCAGGGATGACTCTTCAGTGTCCCTGTACTGGTGCACCCAGTGCTGCCATCCCTGTTCACATGCTTTCTCCCAGTCTGCCCTGAGCAACATGTGCTCATGCCCAGGCTCAGGTGTTTCAGGTCTAAGGAGACCCAAGGGCCAGGACACCCTGCATCAGAATGTGCTGCAGAGCCTTTGGCACCACGGTGGGCTGTAAAACGGTGGCTGTTTTGCCACAGCAGATATGCCTCCCTCCTGCTGGTATCTATTTCAGAAGCAGTTCATTCACCTAGGAGACCTGAGGCAGGCAGCCCTGCCTGCACCCTTTATCACTCTATCATCTGCCTCGCACCTGCATGCAAATCTCTGTGAAGTCTTCTCCTTTTGGATAATTTGCAGAGGCAACTTCCAGTCACCTGCTTGAGCATCTATTCTGGGATGTGCTAGCCATGGCCTGGCCTCTCTGTGACCCAGCATAGATCCTTCTATGCATCTGAGGCTACAGGGAAAGGTTTTATCTGCCTCATTTGAAAAAGATGTACACCAAGCGATCGCATCTGTATTTGCAGGAGCTGCCTGCTGTGCTTGATCTTTTGAACCCAACCCAGACACCACACTGCACAGGGCAGTCTCCCAGTAGAGCTAACTGATTGCCCAGGGGGGTGAGAGGGAGAGACAGAGACACATGGGACAGGTGCCTGGGATCAAAGCTTTGTCTCAGGCTGTTAATGAACTATGTCCTCAGAGGCCTGGGAAACTCATGGCATGTATTATGAGGCCCTATATGCAGTCCTAGTGGCTCAAGACCCCTGGGCTGTATTCTGTGACTGCTGGCTAGTGGGTCAGTCAGACTGAAGAGGGTGGATATGGCTTGCCTGCTTACTAGAGGATAAGAGAAACCCAGCACCCCTCCAACACACCCACTGCAGAAGCTGCCTCCAAGACCCCAGGCTCCAGCCGTGCCCATCCCCTAGGTACCACGTGGCAGTGGTGGAGAGGCTCTCCATGCCTCACTGTGCTCGCTGCTCCAGAATCCCATTCCTCTGCAGCTGGGTAACGGTGGGAAGCCAGAGGGGAACGAGCCAGCGAGCGGGATTTAAAAACCAGAGCAACCCACCCTTTCAAGGTCAGACTCAGGTTGAGTTGCACAGGGTTTTCTCGAAGAGGCCACCGGAGCCCTTTTGTTCCTCACTGCTCTTGCCATGTTCATCCCAATGTACATGTGAAAGGAACAATTAACAACAGGGCACTCCTCTCCGAGGATTCAGTGCACTTTGAAGTGTCCACCAACCAAAGGCTCAAGAATGATACATCATTTTCCACTGTGAATGTGTCAAACTAGTACAGCAATTGAAAAAAAATGTCTCCACATGCCTTCCCAGCATGCAGACAGGGACCAGCTGGAGAGCCACTTCATATCCGACTTGTCACCCCCTGACAGCTGTCTTCTTGGGAATTTTTTGGTATGTGTAGTTTTCTAGCTCCTTTTTTTAAGGAAAGCACAAGAATGAACCTATTCTCTTGTAGGGGCTAGTCCTCTCCTAAACATGCAGTGTTTCTTTCAGCACTGAATAAAGGAGAGAGAAAAGAAGATTTTCTTACACAAAAATACCTTGGAAGTGGTTTTGAAGTGTCACTCATTGTAAGTGATGCCAATCTTTAACCACTTCTGTACCAAAACATCCCACAACTGATTTCCAGGCTAAGGGGTGCATTCAGCAAAGGTGTTCCAGCACCAGGTTGGACTGTGTGAGCTGACCCACCAACCACAACCCACACCATTAACTAAGGTAGGGATCCCTCCCCTGTAAGTGCCCAGAACAGTTCAAATAGCATGAACATCCAAATCACTGCTGTTAAAAATAACAGCAGACCATTAAAAAATGGCCTGTAAAGCAAAGAGCAGCTCAGTGAACAGCTGAGTGGTACAGAGATGATACAAAAGTCACTGTTTTGACAGTAGTTTACTCAAAATTCGTTTTCCTCCCCTAAACCAGAACTTTTTCTCTATCCTAACCTGAGAAACAGGTCCTGTCACAGGGTTCACCCCACTGTCAGGATAACAACTCTGTGTACCACATGGTACCCTTCCTGGGCAGGCCAGCACTGAAATCAGCTCTCCGTGGCTTCTTGCCCTCCCTGATTTGGGGTATCTGTTTGTCTGAGGTACAGGTCTCTGTATGGTAAGCACTGTTATCCTCATCTCTTCCTTGTGGCTGTTAAAACTAGGTAATCTCCATTAATTAAAAAACACTACAAAATCTCTCACATTTTTGCTTAAAAAGTAAGACTTAACAATGGTCAAAATATTTTCTTTAGAAGTTCCCTGGAGGTTTTGCTTGTTTGTGTTTAGGAGAGGAGAGGAAAAAACCAAATTTTCATTGTTTTGTGGAAAATTTCAACGATGTTTCCCCATTTGGGTCACAATCCTGTGATTCCTTGACGAGCCTAATGAATGTGCACTTTGAAGCAAAGGAAAATGGGGCTCTGATCATTTTGAAATATGATAAGAAAATAAGCTGGAAAATTCCTAGATGGGCCATCTGTGAATGGTCCCTTTTCTTTGTCCATTAAGGGCAGATAAAAGCAAAGATATATTCAGTTGCATGGTATCTTTTCATTCACCTGTGGTTCCTAAGCCTCTGCACTGCCTTCACACCTGGAAAAAGAGAGAGCAAGGGTTTGAGGAGAGCCAGGAGCCTGACGGGAGATCATAAACACTCATGGTGAAACCATAAGTATCAGCCTGGAGAGAATTATTGGGATGGAGGTAGACCACTAAAGCTCTCCTCAGGTGTCTTGATTTTAGATTTCTTGTTAACAGTTACTGAAGTGGAAGGATATTGATGATACACTAGTGGCACAAAAGTGGAAGATATTGTTTAACATCGTACTGCAAGAACCGAGTGACCTTAGGAATGAATGCAATGGGAGAGAAAAGAATTGTAGTAACTGAGCCACACACCTCAGGCGCTGATAGCAGGAATTTCTGCCATGAGGAAAGATGTCACCCTCTGGAAATGAAAAGGAGAACCAGGTCATAGGATAAAAACAAATCTCCAT